AAGCAAAAAATAAAAAATTTATTTGTAAATTTTATTTATAAAAAGTAGTAGCTAATAGCGAGCTACTTTTTGTGACAAATAGCGATAGCGGTAATATGCTACTTTTAAAAGTAGCGTTTAACAACTCTGCTCTTTACAAAATATCTGAAATTTAGGGAAAAAAATTTAGTCTAACATTTTAAAAATTAATTACAAATTTTTAACCGCAATTTTAAAAAAATATATAAACTAAAAATTAATTTTATTTAACATACGTTTAGAGCTATAAAATGAGCCATAATAGATATACATACATAGTGCATCTAATATAAAAGTTATCCCAATTTTAAAAAATCATTTTTTTCTAAAAATGACCAAACTGAGCCACTTTGAAGCCCTGGTTCTAATAGAGTTAAGAGTTAATATTTTGGATTCGTCAATTACAATATTTTATTACTTAAATACCAAATTTTAACAAAATCTGAGATGATCGGGTTGTAAAGTGATTGATTTGACATGGAATGACCCCTATTAAAATATTAAAGACATTTTCTAAAATTATATTTGAAGATTATAGATATTTCTAAATTATATTGTACTATACCAATACGTCGAATCTAACTAATCGATATCTGTATAAGAAGGTCAGTCAATATGAATTTTATTCTTTTGACTAATAAAAATTTAGGGGCTTTATCATTTTTAATTTAAACAAGTTCTATTTCCCTATTGGGTGTCCTGATGAATTCGCAAAATTTATAATGCTTAGGGGAATATTTGCTCGTTTTATTCATTAATACACATTAAAAATCTTGATTATATGCGGCAATTGTTATGTATCTTTAAAATCAAGAAATTTGATTCTCCTTATTTCTGAGGTTAGTTTTTTAATATTATATTATGATAAATAATATGTTGTTATCAATTAATCTAGAGATTTTTTTCCCTGAGGGTTAATCAATTGCTTGAAATAAAATAATATCGATATTGATTTGATAAAATTTATCTAAATCGCGTAACCAATGGAGGGGGAAATCCCCCCTCCCCCATCGCAAATTTGACTGTTTTCATAAATATCATTTTAAGCTAATTTAAATTTCAACCCCCCCCCCCCCTCCCCCAATCAAAATTTTACAAATATTTAAATATCAATTTTCCAACATAAAACTTATTTTTTATAAATAAATTTTAATAAAATTTTCTTTCCTTGTGAGTACATTAACATTATTCAAAAATATTAATAAAATGGGAAATTTTTTAGTCAAAGAGATTGAAATCAAACGGTAATTTATTTTATTATTATAAATAATTATTTTATTATTATATATAATTATTTTATTATTATATATAATAATTTTATTAAATTCAAAATTATTAGTGAGTTATAATTAATAAGTATTTTTAATAATATTTTAATTATTTATAAATATCTATAATTTTTAAATATTTTTCATTTTTACATTTTGTAGAACAAAAGAAATAGAAATACAAAAGTTAAATAAGGCTGAGCATGAAAAAAAGTAATGTGTCGTCAGAATCCTCAGAAGCGATATCATTATTTAATTCAATTAATCAATCAGAGTTTATCATTGCTGCTAGTTGCATCAATAAATTATTTTCCTATATCTCACTATTGATTTGGCGGAAAATATATATGAACAGGTAGATACAATAAGAATGAATGTAGATGAATATTTTTATAATATTTATCTAGACGTTGAATTGAAGGTTAAATTTTATGATATAACACTAATTAAACTTCATCTAGCACCTAGGCAATTATTGAGATGTAAAATAAATATTGGCTCAACTGAAGAATATTATAGAATATCCATTATCATCCCATTCTTAGATACCTCTTTATCGCAAATAAAAGTACGGTTTTTAGATAAAAAACAAGTCTTTAACAATCTTCAAGTTTTATTACCCAAAGATCCTTCTTCGTTTTCTAATGCCACTATTGGTAAAATAAATATTTAGCAAAATTTTATTCCTATGATATTGATACTGAAATAAATTTAATCAGTAAATTCGAATTGTGGTATAAATATTTACTACGTTTAGCTATTTTACCTGAGCATGCTATTGATGCGCTCAATCGTAAAGAAACCTTGGCTCAATTTCCTAATATTTTGAAATCGTTTTATATTCTTGCATGTTTGCCTATTACAATATGTACGAATGAAAGGACTTTTTCCAACTTGAAAAGTTAAAAACATATTTACGAAGTACTACTTCCGAATCTCGGCTAAATGGGTTAGCTCTGTTAAATATCCACAGAGATTTGGTTCCAACGACAAGCGAAATTCTTGATGAATTGGCAACATTCCGACGAAAATTAAAAATCACATTATAATTATAGTGATTAATAAAAAATTTTGTATAATATTATATTTGATAAGAAGTTAAAAAAAACTTGTTTTTTAAATTATTTTAGTCAATATTTTATACACACTACTATTAATATTTTCAATAAAAAAATTATATATTGTATGAGAATTTAAGCTGAGGCTAGTTTTAAAGCAAATTTTATCAAAAAAATGACATTAAAATTTATTTGAACTTTACATTTATAAAAACTTTACTAAATATAATATACCTAACTTAAAATAATAAAAAATAGGCTTGTAATATCCATAAGCACGAATTAGTAAAGAATAGTTAAAAATAGAAATATAATTATTATTGAATTATGAATAATTTAATAGAATAACTAAAAGAAGACTCGGCCGAAGGCCTGGGAAAAGCTGACCGAAGGCCATGTAATGGGGGTTTGGGGGCGAAGTCCCCAAAAAATTCCCCCCCCCCTCCCATAAGAAAATCCTGGATACGCCACTGATTATATGTTTTTTTTAACCCATCTTGTCCTTAAAATATTTCAAAATTATTGTAATACTTCCACATCTTATCTTCAAAACATAAAAAATGTTTATTTAACAGCCTATGAGATTGAAGTGCAAAGGAACGTGGCTAATTTTATAACTCACCAATCTCTTCATTTAATAAGATTATGTTTTAAGTTGATGTAATAAAGTTTTAAAAAAATTGAATCGTACTTAGCTCACTTTACATCATCTTCATCATCCGCTTCAGTAGAAATAATATTTGTTATTTGAAGTGCATTCCAAATTTAGGAATCGTTTAGGAAAACTAGTTTTCTTTTTAATACTTAAATTTAAATATCTATGTCAAGGACACAGATAATGCTTGTGATTGTTAATATTTTGTTGAATATTATTTTTTGTGCAGACTGTTTGTTTTTTTATTATAAAGAAAAACATGCCTAGTTTAATATTAGTTGAGGTTTTAAATTTTGAATATTAAATGATTTCTTACTATATTTAGATTAAAATTAACAATTATTTTTAATACATTGCGTCAAAAATTGAAATAAAGAAATGAAAATAACAAATGATTTAATTTTTATCTAATTGATGATTAGATTACTAGTGCTGCAATTTTGTATTTTTGATTAAATAAATTAAATTTAGGACTAATCTAAGTTTTTGACTTTCACATTAATTTAAATCACTGATTTATAAAAAAAATCGAGGTATTATTTATAATTAAATTGATTTTTATCAACAAAATATTGAATCAATACTTATTAAACTAGGCAGAAATATTTATAAAGATTTTTTATATCTCCTTGAATTTATATTATACAAAAATTAATATTCTAGAATTAACACTATGAAATTATTTATTTGATTTAATTCAACTTGAGTTAATCATGGCAACTCTAGCTTCATCTGAACAATTATTCTTACTTAGCAATGTCTGAACATTGATAAATAATTCTAAGTATTCATAATCTTTTTTGTGTTTAGTATTTATTCTGAGCTTATTTTTTCTTTAACCTTGAGCGATTAAATAGGAGCCAATAATATATATTATTTTATTAAATGTATCATTAATATCAAGAAAAAGAATGTAAATCTTTTTAACAAAAGGGCTAAACTAAAAATGATGAATGTGCCAATTTTTGAGTACCTTAATGTATTAGTTTCGAATTGAGATGATAAAATCAAATTAATTTAAAGCAAAAAAATTTTTTTAAATCAATTATATTTTTTGCTTACATTTCAATAATCATTAGCTTTCAAGTAGAAACTTTTAATACCCTTATTTTACTATTTTTGCATATATTTTTTAATTAATTGCTAAATTTTATTATAGATGATGTAAATTATTATTTTGGTATGATAGACTCTTATGAAATCAATGTTAAAATTAAAGGAAATATCAAAAATCTGTTTTTTCCGCGTTTAATAAATATTTAGTTAATTCAGATAAAGTTTAATTCTTAATCTAAGTACATTGTCATTTACCACGAATTTGAACTCTTTTTAATGTAAAAATTTTTAATAGTATGCACGATCCTTTATGATATGCAATATAGAAATATGCAAAGCCCAGCCAGTTGCCTAGTCCTGCCCAATAATGTTTTAGGTATAAATTTATTAGCCCGTTAAAATTTAACGAAAAGTTCTTTCCGACCGGTTAGATTTTTTTTCGAAATTTTTCTGCCTTCACATTTTTAATAATATCTATATATAATATTTTTCCAATATCAATTAAGGCTCTTATATCTCTTGGTTATCTATTTCTACAATCGACTGTCTTGTAATTGTGTTTGATATCTGTATTTATAATTAGATCAATATTTTCGTTAAACAGCTTTTAAAATACAAAGAAATAAGCATATTGTAATTTATTTCCAAATAGTAATAATCACATTCAAAATATTAGCTTGAAAATCAAAAAAATATTTTAATGCCCTGGCTGACCTATTAATATTTTACGAAAAATCAGAGATTTACCTCTAATTTTTTATGCACAAATTGCCCGGTCAGAAAATATTTTGTGTACGAATTGCCCGGCGCGTTATAATTTTTTTAAAAATTCCCCAGCCCGCGAGTTGGGTTTTGCAGAGTACAATAATAATCTCATGATTTCTTAATAAATTAAACCATTTATTATAATAAAATAAAAATATCCTCAATGCCACAAATCTATAGACAAGCGGCCTAATAAAAAATCAAGGAAGCGTAAACGGTGCCACCCTTTGCTTTGGACCAAATTTTACCCAGAAAATGGGCTTGGCCTTTGTTCCTCTGTACTCACCCCTATTAAACCTGCAACCTCCGACCTTTCTCCCTTATTGGACTCTCCCCCAGATAACGGCAACGAAACTTGTAAAAACGAGTTCGACACAATTTCATCGTCTGAAAGTTTTTTGACCTATCTTCGCGATTATTCATTATTGCCAACCATACAAATACGGAAGCACCCGCCATTCGATTTTGATCATTACACCTTAATCTCTGGATCCTTTTCCCTTTACTCTCCATTCACTCTGACCCTGAACAGCGTAAGGACGAGAAATGTGCAATCAGCTAAAGGGGAAAACTCGCAATCAGCTATAGGGGAAAACGTGAAGCAGACCGATGTAATAAAAAGCTGGGAAAAACCTCATCAAGTAACTTATGATTAAATATTAGTAAACAAATACAAAAATATTTTTTTCGTTTCTCTTAATAAAAAATGGTATGAATAATGAATGTGATTATCTCCTCTCCCCACCTTTTAAACAAATATATTTTTTAAATATATTTTAAAAAATTTCTAACTATCTACCATATTAAATATATATTAATTTTTAAGCCTTTTCTGTTTGAAATGATTTTTCACAAATGTTTTTTTATTTTAATTTGATCCATATTTTTGAAAATCATAAAAGATGCTATATCTCAAACGGTTGAATGATATCGAAAAATTATTTGACCGCGAGTCCGATGCTTCCTCCGATTATTCGCTCGGTAAAAAATATATATATAATTTCTAAACTATATTTGTTAATTTAAGATATATACCTTAATTTTATTAGCTCCTTTGTCTATTATTCATAATGAATTATATAAACTTTGTCGGTTTAGATCAAATAACTTATCGGTCTTATAAACTTGCAAAGTGTAAAACCACTTATATTTGACCAATTTTAAAATCCTTAATTAACCAAAAAGCTCCTTGCACCATGTATGCAGTTTTACTATAATTTATTTATAAAAACTTCCTTGTATAATTATATAAATGATATTTTGTAACTTTGATAACCAAATTTATTAAAGAATAATTGGGATAAAAAATTCCATTGGAAACAGTTAGAAAAACGCAGCTCTTAATTTTGCCAAAAGGTTTTAGTAAACCCTGATGTTCAGTTTTTATTATAATTGTATATAATTTTTAGTACCTTTATAAGAAATACTTTATTGGGCATTCCTAACCCTTGCAAAGTAAGCTGTCCCTTAGATCAATTTATAATAAAGTCTCATTTTTTTTCTTTAAAAATGTGAAATAAATGATAATGGAATGAAAAATAAAATAAAACGGAGAAAGATCTCACCGAATGAACTAAAAGCAATTGGTTAATGATTTATAAGATGGAAAACTTAAGTCATCTCTGTCAATTCTTTAAAAATTTGGTATATAAATATGGGAAATTTGTTATAGCCAACAAGTTACATTGCATAATGGATATTTATATAAAGATGGAACCAAATAAAGCAAGAAATGCTAAAATTAGATGAAAGGTTTAGATCAAATGGAGTCTCCATTATAAAAACATGTGGCATTTTTTTTACAAATAGCGCTTGTCAGTGACTTCTAGAAAAACAGAATTATCAAAGAACTCTATTTCTTTCTGCCCGAACCAGACAGTGTGATAGAAGTTTACGCTTGGGCTTATGACACGGGGAAACTTAGCAATGAAACTCGGATAAAGCGAAGACGATAGAGGAAAAGGAAAGGTGAAATGGCAGATGACAAAGACGGAGGGCGATAAGGAGGCGTACAGAGTAGCAAAACGAAGTACAAAGAGAATGGTTTCCAAGAAACAGGAATCGAAAATGCTGCAATCCGCTAAGGAGCTAGAAATGGAGGAAGGAAATAAAAATATGATTCGGATTGCAAAACAATGATCAGAGATCAAGTGAAAATTAATGACGTGCAGTTCGACTCCCGGGAGATGAATAACGAGTGCGATTTTTATGGTAGGGCAAATACAGGAAAAGTATTAGGCGAAGAAATAAGACTTTTGACAGGGTCCCACGTAATATTATGGGCTTTGAGAAAATCAGATGTAGAGGAATGGTTGGGTTTGGCAGTAATTGATATGTATGAGGATGCCCAAATGGTTCTTATGTAATAAGGGTCTTGAGACCATTATTATTTATCATAGTAATGGAAGTTGTGACGATAGGGTACTTGGAATGCTCCTTTGGGAACTTTTGTGTGTGATGATCTTGTACTATTGGCAACAAATAGAACAGAGTTAAAGGATTATATAATTATATGGAAGAAGGCTATGGACGCAAAGGGTTTAAAAGCGTAGAAGAAGGTGCTAAAGTAATGATTGGAGGCGAGAAATAAGGAAAAAACAGATACTCATGGGTTGTGTATTGGAAAAGTATTTGGACTGTGTTACATGCTGATCGCAGATGAAGGTGTTGATTCTGCTATTGCTGCCAACATATAAGCGTGAAAGAACTTCTGAGAGATGCTGTCTATTCTAACAAAATACATACGTATGTGAAGTTGAAGGGAAAAATTTATGTAAGCCACCTAGTCTAAGCTGGCGGCGAAACGTGGGTATTGTAAGCAACACACGAAGCTAAATGGGAAAGAACGGAGATGAGGATGGTTAGATAAACAAGTAGGGAATTGCAGGAAGGAATTGGAATATAAACTTTTGGAGTGGTGTGAGAGACTGAGGTTGTTTAAGAACGTTAAACGAAAAATGATTAGGGGAAGAGATGAACCTTAATAAAAGTAATGGAATCAAGGCCTCTAGTAAGACCGAGGACGGCTTGCATGAAAGTGATAACAAATGACATGAGAATATTGGGTCTTACAAATAGATATGCTCAAAATCGTAAAAAATGTGGAAGAGGGATTAGAGGTGAAACTAGCTTACCCTGATAACGAAAACCGTCACTAAACGATGAATAAGATTTTCATATCTATTCTTTCTACGAAACCTTATCTATTTTTTAAGTGAAAACATTAATTTTTTAAATATTCAAGTCGAATATTGATTTTATTATATATTACTTCTCGGGAAACTATAATTGAAGGAAATTAGGGAAACAACGGGAAATTTTAAAAAAAATTATTTTACAGGTTAATATTGAATTTTTATTTTATTAAAAATATAGACTATTAATATATTATTTAAGCAAGTACGAGATAATTTCAATTATTTAATTTTTTTATCTTCGTTGAAAACGATTTCAGATCTCTAAAATCGAGCAATTTGTCATTTGTCTCGCAACATCTAAATCTAGGTATCAAGAAAATCGGTTTATAAAATCTAATCCTTTATTAACAACTTCATTGTCTTTAAAATCAATCCGCAATATCATGGGTGAAGTGTATGAGTAGGGTAATATATGTCCCGGCAACAAAAAATTTGTTCGATCTCTATAATTTCGTTTTATAAGCCTGATATGAATAAATGCTTAAGGAACGTCAGATAAGTTTGATTTCGCTTCGACTTCTATTTGTGTAAAAATATCTTTATAAAATTATATAGATGGACATGATCATTTTAAAAAACTTCATTATCAAGAAGATTAAGTCTCTTATCTCTGGGGCTGTGCCGATATAATATCGAATCGGATCGGCACCGATATTTGGCGTTTTCCAAAAATATCAGATCGGGTCGATACCTGTAAAAAACCTATCCGATCATATCCTTTTACTTTTCTTTTTTTTGTTATTTTATGTATTTATTTTACATTAATAATATTTTCTAAATAATTGTATTTTTAAACAATGAATACTCAACACCCCTTAAATTTTATTTATTTTTATAAAAATAGAAAGGAACACCCAAAGTTTTATTTATTTTAAATCTTTTTAAATAATAACGCCAATTTTTTTATTTATTTAAATAAAAGAATTTTTTTAAATGTGGTATCTGAATTATGGAAATATTTCACAAAAAGATAATTTTGCAAAATGCGGTATCTGCGGAATTCTATACTGGGATGAATAATGAAAAATTCATTATATACTACCAATATCCGTAACTTTTTTTAATTATTGTGGAAATACAAAAATTAAATTAGATGCATAATTCGATTTTTTGCATAAAAAATTTGATTTCTTAATTACATTTGTTTCAAAGGGGGGTGGTGAAAAATCAATATAAATATCGGATCGGTTTTGAACCAATATCGGAAAATGTCGGATCGGATCGGTTAGAAATGGATCGGCACAGCCCTACGTCTCTCTATAAAAAAGGGTATTGCCGCAAAGTATTTTTTTTTATAACACACGATTAAATATCAAAACTATACTGTCCATGGAGTTGCGTGGGCTAGGGATCGAGGAAACAATCCATTTTTATCTTTTAATAATTGTTTTTCCTTTAATGTGTAAAAGAATGTTTAATTTTACTTATTTTATAATAATTTGGGCTTTTTCTACTAAAATTTAAATTGGTAATATTTTATTTGTTAGATCCTTTAATAGCAAATTAAGTTCATGAGATGCAGGCAAAATGTAATCAATATGATTTATATTTTAATTTCTATATATCTAAGAAATTAATTATTATGTAAAAAAAAATTTATTATAATGTAAAATTTTTGTTTTTCCTATTTCTATAATTACTTTAATAAATTCACTAGATAATTCTCCTTTATGCATATTGGTCCCTGTTTTAATTAATTTATAAAATGGGACATGGGTTTGCTATAATAAAATTAATAATACATTCCACTCTTATATTTGTCCACCCATCATTAAGGGTCAATTTTTTTTTATCTTGGTTACTATATTTTTAATCCTTTCATATTTTCTGTTTAACAAATTTTTACTCAGCAAATATCTCGAGAGCATTTTAAATGCTGTTTTTAAAGATTATTAAATAATTTCTTCCAAATACACGTCACATAAATGAACATTTTAACATGAGAATCGTATTGCGAAATTATTACTATATTTTATTAAATTCATAAATTTATATTATTATTAGTTGAATTGAAATTAGAAGATGAAGTTGGTCTATCCTATCCTATATCTATCTAACCTTATCCTATCAATTATTATTAAAAATTTTAAATATATTCCAGTCAATAAAAAAAATTCCTTCCTATGAACATTATTAGAGTTGAGCTATTATTATATTATCGAAAATGAACGTATATACAAAAACAAAACATAATTATGATTTATGAACAAAGAGGAAAAAATATTTTTCTCAAATATGATAAAATTATGAATATTTAATTAAAAACATAAAATAAAAATTGGGAAAATTTCCCTATGTTATATCTCTTATACGATTAATTAACCTGATTGTAACGGATAATGCATTAATTCGATTCCTATTGTCTTCGGCCTATGTTTATTATAGAGTAAGGGCGCGCATTAAATGCTTGTATTATTTAAGGTGTCTGAACACTCACAATTTTTTATAGGTGTAGGGAAATAATTAATTAATAAAAATAAAATAAGGTATATAGAAATAATATCTTCGATTTAAAAATTTTTCCAAATTAATTAGCTCTTTGCACTTTCCTATATTTTGCATATTATTTCACTTTCTATTTTTAGAATAGAGTAGATTTGGTATAGTTAATTGATGGCAACTCGTTCCTTTATATAATTATGACTTGTAAATTTGATTTAATTATTTCTCTTTCTTTTTTTCTGATTTCTTATTTATTTAATTTTTTTGTTATTTTTTTACAACTTCTTTGTTTCTTTCTTCTCTGCTTTTTTTTTATTGTTGATTCTTTTTAAGCTGAAAACT